AACTTACATACCCTTGGGGCAATATTTCTGCGGGTAAGAGGAGCAACTATGAAGCCCTGTGGGATCCTTCACATGAAATGTGTCAGTGTGTTTTGAAAGCTATTTTTCATGACTCACCTTACAAAGCACATTAGCATTTAAACACTGAGAAGCATCATCATTCTAAAAAACATTTTTCCTACACAGTACAAAGAAAGCCAATCTAAAAATCTGCCCATGAGGAGGAGGAAGAAACGCTTAAGGGAGAAAACACCTACAAGGTGCCAGCAGAGCATAATGAGGAACTTAAGGATTTGATGGCAACGTTCGCTACTGTTCATTTTTTTCTCTTTTATGTGTTTGCTTCATGCCTTGGCCTTGAGGTAGAGCAGTTCCCCTCCCATCTCTGCCACCTGCTGTCCTGACCCTTCATCTACATGTGACAGCTAAATGGATCTTTTCTTCTTTTTTCTCAATAGTCTCATCTGACCACCACAGGGTGGCCTTTCAAATTTATACCGGCAGCCTACCTCGTGCTCTGCAGCTCTGAACTCACATTTTCACAGCCTCCCAGGTACTCCACGTCCTGCTGTCAGCTATAGCTCTGTCCTAAGACAGCCCACCCACTTTTCCTCCTTCCCTCCTGATCTCACCAGTCTACCTTGGTGCAATTATTCTCACAGGCACAGGCAAACCAAACTAGTGGCTTCCAAATGGAGGAATCACCTGGAAAAGCTGCACAACCCTGCGACCCAGGAGGTGCCCATGGGTCTCCTCAAGGGGCTGATGGGGAAGGAGGAAGGTGTGGAAGGTAAGCAGAAAAAGGAGGTGTGTGCAATTTGAGTAAGATCCCCAGAGGATTCTGTCACCTTTCCCCTCATACCTGGGAGAAGTGCTTCTCTAAACCTTGATATTATCTGTTAAGTCCTATTTCTCCCTCACATTCCTCATCAGATTGGCTACCCAATCCTTGCTGATTGCCTCTCAAAAATACCTCCCTAATCTGGTTCTTCCTTTCCATTTCCACAGTACCAACCTCATTATCTCCTGCCAGAATTGTGGTTCCAATTGCTTGTGAGCAAGTTTCTGAACCTCCAGGCTCTCTAGGCTCCAATCCACCTTGCACACTTCTGCTAGATTAACTGTCTTTTTTTTTTCAATTTCATTTATTCATTCTTTCATTCACTACATCAGGTTAATGTGAGGGTACAACCAGCTCACAATATTTGCATTTGTTAGGTACAGTCTATCTTGCAGTTGTGTCCCACACCCAAAAGGTGTGGCATAAACCCCTACATTGTGCCATCAAGTGGGAGCACACCAATCTCTCCTGTTACCCTCTCCCTTCTCCCCCAACTTGAGTTGAATTGCGTTTCCTACATGGGCATGTATTAGATCATCTACTGGCTTCATATTAATATTGAGTACATTGGATATTTGCTTTCCATTCTTGTGATGCTTCACTAGAAGAATGTGCATCAACTCCATCCAGGTTAATACAAAAGATGTAAAGTCTCCATCTTTTTATGGCCAACAGTATTTCCATGGTACACAAATACTACAGTTTGTTAATCCATTTCTATGTTGATGGATATTTAGGTTGTTTCCACATCTTGAAAATTGTAAATTGAGCTGTGATAAACAATCTAGAGCAAATGTGTTTGTCATAAAATGATTTTTTTTCTTTGGGGCAGATGCCTATTAGTGGGATTGTGGGATCAAATGGGAGGTCTAATTTGAGTTCTTTGAGGATTCTCTATACTTCTTTCCAAAGAGGCTGTATTACTTCGCAGTCCTACCAACAGTGTGAAAGTATTCTCCTTTCTCTATATCCACACCACACTGCAACTTTGAAACTTTATGATGTGAGCTATTCTCACCGGGGATAGGTGGTATCGCAGAGTGGTTTTGATTTACATTTCTCTAATGATTAGGATGATGAGCATGTTTTCACATGTTTGTTAGCCTACATCTGTCTTCCTTAGAGAAGGTTCATTTCCTCCACATTGTCAAATTTCTCGACATAGAGTCTTTTTGTAGTAATCAGAAATAATCTCTTGTATCTCTGTGCTTATCAGTTATTTCCCCTTTTTATTTCTGATTGAGGTTATTAAAGATTTTACTTTTCTGTTTCTAGTTAATTTGTCCAAAGGTTTATCTGTTTTGTTTATCTTTTTGAAGAACCAAATTTTTGTTTCATTAATTTTCTGAGTGATTCTTATTTCTGGTTTAATTTTGGTTATTTGTTTTCTTCTGCTAGGTTTGGGATTAGATGGCTCCTCCTTTTCCATTTCTTTAAGATGATTCATTAGGTTGTTGATGTGCTCTCTTTCTGTTTTTCAGATGTAGGCATCTAATACAATAAACTTCCCTCTTAGGACCTTTTTTGCAGTGTCCCACAGGTTTTGATGGTTTGTGTCTGCTTTGTTGTTACGCTCAAGGAAGCTAATAATTCCCCCCTTTCTCTCTTTCTTAACTCAACTGTCATTCAGCATGAGGGTGTTCAGTTTCCATGCCTTTGTGTGGGGATGAACATTTTTGTTGGAGTCAAGTTCTACCTTAATTGCCTATGGTCTGAGAAGATACAAGGTATAATTTCTTTTTTTTTTTT